AAGCATGTTAAATAAAGTCCTGAAGTTCATATAAAAATAATGGATTTCTTTTTCCCCAAACTAATATATTTAGAATTCCAGTATCGTGATCCTCTTTCTCAAATAGCCTTTTATTTCGACTTAGTCTCATTAAGTTTTCGTCTGTGTGAAAGCAATATGTGTACTCTACCAACGAGCGGTGGTATAACATATATCGAACTTGTAACCATCGTGTCATTACACTGTGTGCTCAGAAACCTAATATGTGCTTAAATTTGTCGTAGAGTAACCCTTTGATTGCTCAAAATATATATAAACACGTCTTTTTTTTGGAGTAGCTTTTATTATCCGCTCCAAGCAAGGACGACTAGATGGTCTTCTTCTTTGTGTCATAATCCGCTAAATTGCGGTTCATTCAACCTGTTCATCTGTTACTAGAGTGCCTCAATGCTTAACATTAGCAACGAGATACGAGTGCTCTCCTTTTCAACTTTCGTCGAGAAAAACAATGTCTTCTCTCGCGATAAATCAGAGCCTAGGCTGGTGTTTATGAAGATACCCACCGACGCTAACACCAGGGATTATTCACCGTAAGTAATGCCTAAGTATTCAACCAGCCTTCTGTATTTATAATTCGACCGTTCTTTCGAATTCAAAACTACTTTTATGTACTCCTCTGCAATATTTGCATTAGCTCTCTTAAACACTAACAAATTTCTCAGAGTGATCTATTGACCAATACCAATGGCAAGACATGGTTGATCGGAAGCCTGATGCAACCTTTGTGATAAAAACATTGGAGAGATATTCCTTATATCTCCGTCGCTTCACCACAAAACATCCGTTGACTACAAGGAATATTACCGCTTTTTACCGATCTCGTTATTAATGTATAAGATATGAGATATATTTTAGAAAGTGTGAACTTTGTTCGTCTAATGTATTGAGATCGTTGTATATCACTTACAAATCAGATTTCAGTTGTATAGTTCGATACTATCTCCATTTTATTTTATTCGTATCTAAATCTACTATGACTCACTGTATTCCCTCACATATTTTTGTCCCTTCTTTAAACCTTTCTTTATGCTTTAATGCTGAATAAAGCTATTAACCCGTATATTGCGATTGTTTTCTTCCATAAACGCTTGAAAAATATTTGTGTTTACGCGATTATCGAACTTATTTATCTAAAGATACTATACTGCCCTCTGCGCAAATTTTGGGAAGACATTTCATTGTTTTCGTGGTAAGAAAATCTGGAATTTTCCTAAAATTAAAAAAAAGTAAAACTGCATTTGTCTGCATTTATATAAATCCACAACAAACTCAACTGATCTTTTCATTCTTAGCAATCGCGCGTCTCTGTGAAGCAATAACAAAAAGATCGTGGATGTAACAAGAAATGTACTAACCTAATAGGTCACCGAGATTGCATTTTAGAGAGCCATGAATTGCGTAACAAAATAGCACGCTTAAAGCCCGATAGTCCATATATATTTAAAATAAAACACAAGGTGACATTTGTAAATCCAGTCGAAAGCAACAATTACTATTTTAAAGTAAGGCAAAATTCGTCATATTACATGTAGGCTATGATCAATTAGCTATGGAAAAGTCGATGAAATTCTTCGTAAAATCGCTAAAAAAGAACAACATCAAACGCAAGCCGAATCGTGTATAATCAGCTTCTCCAACCTGAGTAGACGATTGATTCCACTCTTTAGCATCAAAAAATGCTCGATTAAAGTGCGCAAAACCAATTTTCCGTCAAAAAATTGCCAAACTGGACATATCTTTAACGACTTAGCAAATATTGATTGGAAGTCTTGATGTATCCAGAATACAGCTCAGACCCGTTCGCCTACTACTTATTTCGGCCTTTGCAGAACGTTC